AACCACACTAAGACAATCTGGGTACAGTATAACAAGTCACCCCTGTGTGGGTTCCGGGGCCCCATTGTGGGGAAAACAAGAATAGACCCACTGTCTCCCCAAAAGCATGTTGTAAGAGTCAACTAATTGGGGAGCTTCCTTTGAAGACGGAGTGCGTCTGGCGGAGAGGCAAGGAACCAACAGTCTGTATTCAAGAGAATGAGATCTGTAAAACTGATGCACACGCAACACTCAGGTTCTGGAGCAGGACTGCAGTTCAGTAGTAGACGAGCAACCGCCAGAGTTTACAGCTGGTGAACGCGAAGAAGAAGAAGAAGAAGAAGTATAACAAGAAGGACTTTGCACTGAAATCCACCGTGTCAAAAGAAAAAGGAAACTAGCAATCTTCTTTTTTTTTTGTTCACCGGCTGTAAGCTCCGGCGGAAAGTCTTAGTTGTTTGGACTTTGGCTTTGTACAAGGGCCTGAGTTTTGCGTGTACATCCGTTTCACTGGCTTATTTGTGTGCAGTGGGTTAATCCTTGCTGCTCGGGGAGATGCACTCCAACTTCGAAGGAAGTTCCACGTAAGTCGACTCTTACGGCATGCTTGCTTGAGAGACTATAGGTCTATTCTTGTTTTTCATATAAAGGGGTCCCGGAACTCACACGGAAAGAAACTCGAAACAAATTAGAAGAGAGACTGTTGAGAAAATGTACAGGAAGTAGGCAGCACAGAACAGGAAAGGATAGAACCACTTTAAGCTACTCCATTAATGACCTGTCTCCGGAAGGGGACAGAGGTGAAGAAAATAACGGTGAAATTCTCTGTCTTGGCTAAACTTTAGGAACTATTATATTAAACATTAACAAGCCTTTTGTAATAGATGATTAATTTGGGAATTGCCGCAGTGCATCAGCATGAGAGGATGGGACAACATCTACTTATTCATAAATCTATATAAAAAAGAAGTGCATACAAAACCCAAATTGTGGAATAAGGCTTAAGTCTAGAAATGGACAAGCAACCAAAACTTTCCACCAGTGAACACAAAGAAGAAGAGGTTAGGTCATTACACACAGCAGTCTTATGGCACATGTGTGGTGAAGAGGTTAAGCTGTATGCCTTGTGCCCTGATGGTCATGGTTCACTATACGGTCTCTCAACAGACAGATGAGAACTGATACATGACAGGGTAGATGTGGTCAAGGCCCTTTGGGAACAAGCAACGGAATCAGTAGAGAAAGATTATTATGGCTTGGAGAGAATGAGACACCTGGGGTGTAACCAGAGGGTCTGGCCGGCTCATTACACTCAGAGGAAAGGCAAGATGCACCAGATTGTAACCGGTACCATCAGTAACGGAACTCTGCGCTGGCTGCTGAAGATGAGGATGGAGCATGCCTGGGAATGCCCTAAGTGCTGTGATGTCAATTCTTGACTCAACTTAACTCAGCAGACAGCTAGCCATTCTGCACAAAGAGATTGAGTCATTTGGGATAACCAGTGGCAATGAAGTATATCTGATCAATCTAAACCTTTAAACAGTAGCCACTGAACTAAATGCTGCACACGCCCATTTTATCTCAAAGAAATTAGAAATAACTATCAAGAAAATAAACAATGACAAGTTTATTATAAAAAAAATGAAGTTTAATTTCCAACTACTTGCTCTCACAGAGAACATACACTAGTCTTAGAGAGAGTAAACGAGGTATTTCAAACACACCATTAATCCAAATCTTGTGCAAGCACATCCTTCTGTAACAAGTACAGGTAACATGAGAATCTAAAATCGATACAGTTATGATAATCTGAAACAAACTAGTTGTTTGATAATAATCTGGAGAAACGTACAAACCATTTGTACTTTCAGGTAAAGGTAAAGATGGTCCATAAGCAGGTGCATCCACTGGCGTGTGAAGCATCAGGTCTTTTAACATATTCAAGGCCATGACAAAGGATGTGAGGGTGGTCAATTCCTTTCCTCGTTGCCTTTGCTTCCCAGAAAATTATCTGGTACCCATTATAATGAGCTCGGCTGACTCCACAGAGTTGCAGTGATAGGAAAAAGTCTTGTCACTCCTGGCAATGGAACTATGATCATTGACTCATCAGTTCTCATTATGCCTAGTGGCACATGAGGCTTCAGAGAGGACTTTCCATGCTATTGACTCAACAGACAATAGTCACAATGCCATTGCAACTCTTCAATGAATTCTAACAGTATTGTTCAATTCACCACCAGCTGATTGATTGTTCTACATATGCAATACACTGGTCAACTTCTTCTATACTGTTCTTCTTTTGTGTTTCTTATTTCTACCGTAGTGACTAGACTACATCATGTGTTGAAATTCTATTTAGTTCATGAGACTCAAAGACTTGCCCTAAAGCAGCCTTCTTCAACTGGCAGGCTGTAGAAGTTTACTGGTGGTCTACAAAAATGTCGGCCCAATCATGTCACTGTTCCATGATTCTAACGCTAGAGGGCTGCAAATACTGTATCATCTCTAAGCAGCAGCAGATGTTGCATGAGCTGAAAATTGTAATTCAGTAACATCAGATTTACCAAAAACTGTCTTTATTAGCTGGCAAGTGGTGAGCTATATATCTCCCAGCCTGCGGGTGTAAACAGGTTGAAGAAAAACGATTTAAAGTACATAAACTTTTAGTTAGAAAGTACTTAAGTAACGAATGTCTGGTATTAAAACAATTAATCACACTGAGTATGTCTACTTCTGTCTTCTAAAAACTAGGACCAGCCCTGCCTGTGAAACCATTAAGCCTCTGACAAACAAGACAATTTACCGCTACAGATTTTCTTTAAAATGTAAACCAGGCCATCCATTTTCAAACACCAACAGCAGCAAGAAACTGATCTGAATACTTAACAGGTTTTTCCCATACCATTGTTTTATCATTTATAAATGGAGCCCCACCATAAGACACAATTCACACTGTCTGGGTGAAACAGGAAACTCATACACACGTTAACAAAAATGTTAACGGGACTAGGTGAACTATGATTTTGTTTCTGCATTCAGATAAAAAAGTTAGTTGCATTTTCTATCCAAGATGCTGCAGAACCAAATCCTGCATCTTTTGACTGTATTAGTTTTATTATGCAATTTTACAATCAGTAGAGTGTGGCTTAGACGTCATGAACCCGCTTCATAATGCCAGGGTGCCTAGTTTGATTCCAGCTGCGAATTGTTTGTCTTGCATTGGTTTTGACAGTGGTACCGAGAGCTGACAATTCAGAAAAAAAATGGCAAACTACTGAATGTAAAATGAGCTTAGAAAAACAACAGTTAAAAAATGCTGGGGTTGGTTCTGCAAAGTCCTGTAATGGATACGCAATTAAATAGTGTGCCATTGCTTGAATGGTGTTTAAGTGCATTATTATTACGATACCTTTAGTAAAAAACCAACTAAACAAAGACTGAAGGCAGACCAAATATGAAATACAAATGGCTGAGCTTATGAATCTAAATAATTACTATCATAAATCTCTTTTGTAAATAAAATAAGACAATTTTTCTATTAAAAAATGAATTCTTATGAGCCCAAGCCATTTTTACTTTAACACTATTTCAATATATGTACTTTAAAGTAAGTTTAACATGATAAAACAATGTAATCATTTTGCAGAAGTTAAACTGACAGTTTTAACTGAATGAATTTTCATAAAGAGAAGAATGTGACAAAAGAAGTTTAGAAATATATTCTAAGTTATTAATAACCACAAGTTTTTTGGTACTGAAAGAGTTCACATTAAAACTTTGCTAATACTTTTTGTTTTATGCCACAGTTTAACAACAAACAATCTTTAACAAGAATAAACATGCAAACATCTCAGAAATATCAAAGTTAATGAACCAGTAATGCCTGCAGGTATGCGCTAAAATGTGACACAATCAATGATACAAGAACAAAATATCACATGACTGTCAACTCTGACAGCCATTTTCTTGCCATTTAGGTTGCTATTTCTTACCCACAATATTTGGGAAGCCAAAAATATACTATCTGACTGACAGACGTTCCGCTTTAGACTGCTATATGAAAGCCTAAAACCCTTATGACTCAACAAGTCACATACTGAATGGCAAACCAACAGGGCATATCTCAGATATCCTATTTCACCTCCTAATTGTAATGGTTACAGCAAGCACTACCATGGTGCACTGTAGTCCCGTGCAGGTAGGGGTCACATTCGACATTTATAAGATGTTTAAACAAAAAGGCTTACCTGGACTGACTAGGAAGGAAATTAAAAAAAATAATAATATAAAAAACCCCATAAGACTAAACATCTGAGATTCAGAGCGTTTCCCCTAGCAGCACTGCCAAGTTCTCTACAGTGCATGTTGATATGTTATACCTACTTGCTTTCATACGGCAAGGTACCAACAGTTATATTTACACATATACATAAGTACATATACATACATGATGCTTCATCACACATATTCACACACAAAAAGAAAAATGTTGCTATTACAACATTTCATTAGTCTGTTAGAAAATAATTTGCCTCCTATATCTGAGTGTGTGGATGTGTTTAACTACTATGTTGCAACTACACAAAGCCTTTACCAAAAATGCCTCAGTTATATTCTTTAATGGTACCATGTTATAATTATGACGTATATTACTGGTGTTTTCTCCCATCATATTGAGCGTGAGAAAATCTTCTTACTGAATCAATGACAAGGCAAAACACTGCCAGCAAAGTAAGAGGTCGTTAATTCACATGTCTCATTCAGGACCCACGTAACATGTCTAGAATTTTCTAACTACCTTTGCGTGTCAACAGTTAGCACTGACCTTGTCTCAGTGCCTTATGAAAATCATAATGCTAATGACTGTGCCACAGTCCGGCCTGCTTGTCTATAAAGACAGGCCTTGTTGTAATGCCCTTAAGCTGATGTTTCAAGAAACATTTATCTGTACAGGTCAGATCTCACATGTGAGATATCCATTTACTAATCTGATAGAAAGAATCCAAGATGGCAGTTTAATTCCGTGCACCATCTGATAGAACATCTATCAACTGTTTGAAGTCTGTGACAAACCAAGCTGCAGAATTTTTCACCTTCTCCCTGACAACATTTCCACCATAGCCAATGAATGCATCCTAGGCAAACAGAAAACACAAAGGTGTCAACATTTTAGTTCTAAAAAGAAGTCAAAATAATTTTTTTTTAAATCTTCATGCAAATTTTAAACTATGAGAACCTAGTACATTTATTATAAATGATTCACTGAAAGCTGTAAGATATACTGGAACTATAATTCTGGTTTAGTTGATATTTTTATTATTCTAATCTTCTGCTTAGCTTTCACCAGCTGTCATCTCCAGCAGAAAGTTCTGGTTGTTCATCCACTTCTGGACACTTGTCTTGTTCAAGAACTTGAGTTTTGCATACACATCCATTTTACAGATCTGGCTTATTTCTATGTAGACCGCTGTTTGGTTCCTCGCCTCTTATGCAGACGTACTCTTGGTTCCTCGACTCTCATGCAGACATACTCTTGATTACTCACCTCTCATGCAGACACACTTTTGATTACTCACCTCTCACGCAGACATACTCTTGATTACTCACCTCTCATGCAGACACACTCTGACTTCCAATGAAACACCCCTAAAAAGTCACCTATGATGACATGCTTGTTATGGGGACAGTGGGTCTATTCCGTTTCCCTCAAATGGGGCCTCAGAACCCACATGGAGAAGTATTCTTATAAACAAAGTGTTTAAACTCTGTCCTACCCATTGCTATCAAACAACTCCGATCTACTGCTACTGTAACTGTGGCATTCTAAACACTGCTCCTCCATCCCAACAACAACAAATATAATGTAGCTTTCAGTAAAAAACATTCTTCCCATAATGTTTTAGGTGGCTTATACTTCTGAAATACGCCCCCAAAATCTTCAATTTCTTATCGTATCATATGACTGCCTTATGCACGTTTTTTATTACTTCTGGCTGCAAGCTTTGGTGGAAAGTCCTCATTGACCTAAATACTCCGGGCAGACATACTCTTGATTACTCACCTCTCATGCAGACACACTCTGACTTCCAATGAAACACCCCTAAAAAGTCACCTATGATGACATGCTTGTTATGGGGACAGTGGGTCTATTCCGTTTCCCTCAAATGGGGCCTCAGAACCCACATGGAGAAGTATTCTTATAAACAAAGTGTTTAAACTCTGTCCTACCCATTGCTATCAAACAACTCCGATCTACTGCTACTGTAACTGTGGCATTCTAAACACTGCTCCTCCATCCCAACAACAACAAATATAATGTAGCTTTCAGTAAAAAACATTCTTCCCATAATGTTTTAGGTGGCTTATACTTCTGAAATACGCCCCCAAAATCTTCAATTTCTTATCGTATCATATGACTGCCTTATGCACGTTTTTATTACTTCTGGCTGCAAGCTTTGGTGGAAAGTCCTCATTGACCTAAATACTCCGGGCCTGAATTTTGCATGTACATCCATTTTACTGGCTTTTTTGTGCACAGTTGGTTGTTCCTTGCTACTTAGACAGATGCATTCCGACTTGGTAGGAAGCCTCCAATTAGTCAACTCCTATAACATGCTTGCTGGTGAGGCAATGGGTGTATTCTTGTTTTCCCTGTAATGGGGACCTGGAACCCACAGAAGGAAACTCAATGTCCAAATGTTGGAAACAAGAATAGCTTCAATTTTAATTTTTCCAGTAACTTACCGCAGGAGGGCAAGCCTCTAGATCTGTGACTCCATCACCCACAAACACAACTGTCTTCAGTCCATACAGGTCTTTGATATGCTGAACAACAACTGCTTTCCCACCAGCCTGAGATGTTGGCTCATCTGTGTCAAAACCAGCGTAACTACCATCTGAGAAAGACAATTAGATTGCATTTAGTAAATGAGTGGTCTCACTTTCTAGCTGTCTTCTACAAAGTACATAAATGTTATTAATTGGTTGTACTAAATATCGGAATGCTACCTATTGATCTTGTTAGTGATCACTGGCTGTAAACTCTGGCTGGTTGGTTGGTGGTTGATACTTGTACCCCACCAGGACATCACACAAGCAATTAACACTCAGTGACACAATGTGCCACCATGCGGATGAGTATCACCTTTCAGCTGTTAGGCCATATCTATGCCACGGCTATATTCAGGGCCCCAAGGCAAGGCTTCAAACAACAAAAAACTGCATCCCACATGAGAACAACATAGTTTAAACTGGAAACTCAGAAAGTTCTGCTCGTTTGTCCACGGGCTTTGGTCTTTTTTCCAGAACTTGAATTCTGCATGCACATCTGTTTTATAAATCTGAATTATTCGGATGCACCTCTCAGGCCGATGCACTCTGACTTCAAAGGAACACTGCCCTACATAGTCACCTTATAAGAGCACTAGCCCTATCTTCAGCAGTGAACAGAGTTCCGATTGCACCAGTAACCTGATTCTATGTATGTCTCATCTTTTCACTGAGTACTGAGCATCAGCCAGAGCCGCTGGTCACTCCTCACTGCGCCATCCTCCTCAGACAGAGACTATCTGTTTGTGCCTCCGCACTGTTCATTCACTCCCAAAAAGATCCCTAAAACTAATTTGTCATGTATCAAGTCACCACAAGTGGTGCAGAATCAGCGTGTCTGTCTGTCTGTGTGTTTCCCAACACACTGACTTAAAGAAAATTTCCAAAATAGGCAAACTACCCTGAAACATCTAAAGCGATGCTCTCTACTCTGCTTGGAGCAAACCTGTCTCCACTTTTCTCAACATTCTCTGTGAGTCAGTTACAATAAATCCCTATGTGAGTTCCAAGGTCCCATTGTGGAGAAAACAAGAATAGACCCACTGCCTGCCTAACAAGCAAGTGGTAGAAGTCGACTAAGTGTGTGCTCCCTTCGAAGTCAAAGTACATCTGCCTGGAAGACAAGCAACCAACAGTCTGCATGCAAATGAGTCAGAACTGTAAAAGAGATGGGCATGCAACACTCAAGTTTCTGTAACAGGACTAGAGTCCAGAAGTGGATGAACAACCAGAACTTTCCACTGCAGTTTAAAGTCGGTGAACATGAAGAAGAAGTGTTACAATTAGAACATGTATGTACGGCTGGTTCTTAAGCCAGCAGAAGGCTGCAGTGACCATCTCCACCTCTATTACAAAACTAGATATTGTTGTATCATATGCCAGGCTTGTTGCATTAAGCAAAATGAAAGATCAAATCTATACCATAACACTAAGAATTACAAGTGATTTGTTTGATTTGCAAACTTAAATTATGTAATATTCTAGACATTTTCACAACACCATAAACATTTGGCAGTGAAAACACTATATGTTCAGCAGTAACATACCTTCGTTGAAAATCAGTTTATTAGCATAGATGTTCTCCTTGGGTATACCAAGTTCCTCAGCAACTGGTGAGATTATACAGCGGAAGCCCCCCGATACCAAAAACACTTTTTTGTTCTTGGCTTTCAATACATCGACAAGTTCTCTGAGGAGTTGTTAACAACAACCGACAGTTAAACCACTCAAACGAAGAAATATCTTTTATAAAGCTAAAATTGTGGGGGAATGTGAAATTATTTATCATAACAAAAATATATATGTATGTATTTCAGCTAAAAGGATTTATTTCTTTGCTTTATCCTGTTGAAGTGTTTAGTTTACATTTGATCTGATGAAATGCTGTAAGTATGCCAGGCCATAAACTATGCAATCTGCCTTTTCACCTTTATTAAAAAATTTATTAGGAAAAAATATTTAAAACAAAAAACAGACAAACCACGAAGCTTTCTAAACATACAGTAATTGAAATGGCACTTGAATGAGGATGCAGTAAAACTTACTTGATATTGGGACTAAGTCTTGGGGGACATGATGCAATGAGATCTTTCACTTCTCCAATGGTGGGTTGCATTATGTTTAGCCTCTGGGTCAAAGCATCACGGAATGAAATTCCACCACCCATGGCTTTCTTTGTCCTAAGAATATCAGATCAAAAATGACATACAATGATTCTGTCAGCAAAGCTGGGTTTAGAGCATACTGCATGGCTATTAAACTAAGTTAACACAGGGGCCATAATTTGGAAAATGGGGATCGCCAAAGGCTTGAGTCCCAGCATTGAAAGATCATTAATTCAACATAACTGGCACTGATCCACAAGTTATTGGCTACACTTCTGGCCAGCAGGTTGCCAGGTGAATAGCGCTGGCATACTGTATGTGCATCATTTTACTCATGACTAATGCACTGGGCACTCACACAGGTTTTATGTATTATAAAAAATGTCCCTGAGTTATCTTTTTTTGAATTTTCATGCGTTATGGAGGAAATAATTATAATCTAATGTAATACTGAACAGATAAAGTCAAACATAAATACCTAGCATTGAAGAGACAGAAACTCAGTATTACAATGTAACGAAGCATGGTTGAACCAGATACCTATGATTAAAGTTGAAGAGAAAAATGAGCCCCATTTTTAATCATCTATCTATAAAATACTTTGCTAAACTTTGTATAAAAGTGAACCCCCAATCCCCATCCACAGACCATTTACTCAAGATAGAACACTAACAATTACAATAGTTACTTAAATTATACATAAAGTGTAAGGAGTTATAAAACGACTAGCAATGTTGGAGAATGTAGAAACTCAATCTCAATCCTACAAATCCGTATGTGGGTTCCACTATGGCGGGGTTAACAGACCCACTACCTCTTGAACACAAATGTTGTGGGAGTTGATTAATGAGGGTTTTCTTCAAAGTGGGAGTGCATCTGCCTGAAATGCCAGCAACTAACAGTCTGCACAAAAATAAGCCAGATCTGTTAAACAGATGTGCATGCACAACACTAAGGTCCAGAAGAAGATAAACAGCCAGAACTTTCTACCAGCGAAGGCAAAGAATGCTTAACAAATTTTTTTACAAGGTTTCTAACTAAATACAATAAACAATGTTAGTGTAATATTATAAATTAATTAAACATGCACTGCAGAAAGATTTCAGAACTGAACACTTACCACTCTGCAACCTGAGGTCCGACCCCACAGAAGCTGGCCAGTTCATCAATGGCTTCATCTTCACATACGGTTGAGTCTACATCAAAGCAAACGGCATCTGCTTTTTTCAAGATTCGCTGAACTTGTTCTTTGGTTGGCATGGTTACAGTTCTGTATTGACAAAAGAACAGAGTGATGGTCAAAAGGAAATGTAGATCAATCATTAAAAAGTGGACAGCTGATTTTCTTTCGTCATTTCAGAAACTGTAGAAGAAAAAACCAGTGCTACAGGGCAAGAATAAAATAAATATTTCATCATAAAATATCTGAACAATAAAAAAATTAGCTCACAAATGGTATCTTGGTTTGGAAACAAATGTTTTGGCTACATCAGACAGCCACAATGGACTGGAAACAACAGTGCTGGGGGCATGATACCAGGTAAGATAGACTAGGGCTGACCAGCATCAAGATAAGTATGACATAAGGACAGGAAAGTGCATGATGTGGGAGAGATTCCTGCACGTGGGCTATGATGGGAGTGATGTTCTGTAAAGAGCCTGGACTAGAATATGATCTCACCCTTTCCACTTATCCCACAAATCCTTCCCATGCATTTTATGCAATTCTCTACTAAGATTTATCATGGTGATTAATGTGTAACAATAAACTAAATCGAGAGATCGAAGCAAGAATCCAACAAGCCAACAATGTCGCATACCAGCTTGACCCAATTTTAAAACACCCTGCTGTCCCAGCTGAGATAAAAGGACAAATTATAAATACAATCTTTATACCGACATTAGGTTATCAATGTCAGACTTGGACATTAACAAAAGAACACGAGAGAAGACTAACCACCTGTGAAATGAGATGTTTGAGAATGGCTGCGATAAAACCAGAAGAGATCGAGTGAGAAACGATGTGATCACAAGAACTATTGGAACCATACCCATCGTTAAATTTATTGAGAAACAAAGAATGAAATGGTTTGGTCACCTAATGAGAATGGAACCAACGATGCCAGCATCAAGAGCATACAACATGAAAATCGAAACACCAAGAGGCAGGGGAAGACCAAGAAGAAGATGGATTTAAGGAGTCACGGACAACTTGAGACTTCATAACATCACGGCATATGAAGCGACTGAGCGCGCCCTGGCTCGGTTGCCGATCATCTGATAGACTGCGACGCCTAGCGGCACAAGCAGATTTTGACAAAAGAAGAAGAAGAAGAATAAACAAAAAACACTGAATATTCTAAAGCAAAACTGAAAGATGCTAAAACTTCTGAAATTGTTATACTTCATTCACGTAAGCAGATATTTCAACAAAGTGTGATATGTGAATGTGGTCACCTGTCGCGAACACATATAAAGATATTTGTGAAGAAACAGAGACAAGCAACAAAATATCACCTGCTTAAATCATAGGAATAAGGCTATTGCAGGGTGCTCTTCAAGTCATACATTTAAGAAGATGGAAGACAATGTAACCAATTGTGAATTCATTTTCATTAAAGACACGTTAAACTATTGCAGCGAGCTGAAACAACAACATATATCTGCAACATGTTCCGCCAGTTTGAATGTAAAAGTCCACTCTGGTGCATCGTGTTGCACGAAAAGAATAAGTAAAAAAAACCAAAAATAAAGGTGGCAGAAAATCCCCAAAATTAGTTAGTTAGTTTTTCCTCTTGTGTCGAGTGCGGCACATAGGGCAGAGGTCATGACTCTCCATGCATGGCGGTTCGTTGCAATCTGTTGTAGGTCTTGGATGTTTGAGTGGCCCATGAGCGAGCCTTCCCCGATGATAGTTCTACGTAGTTTCCCCAAAAATAATTGAGACATATGCTGTCAAAATATACTGTGAAATTGTAAAGAGGGTAAGAGAATAGGAAGCATAAGATGTGGAAAGAAGAGAAAGGCATTAAATACTTGAAACCAGACATTTAAAAAAAAATAAACAAAGACTTACCTGACAATGTTTCTGGCAAACTGACCTGACATAACTGACATTACCTGCAGAATTATATGAAAAATACAGGGAAATATATTAGTGAAATTTAAGACAAATGCAACACATTACAGAAATGAAACATTTAAAACAAATTAAACAGTGTACATTCGCCTTTCTTTCTTTAGTATTTTTAATTCTATGATGCCCGTTCTCAGCTCAAATCATTCAGCATTTTCAACCCTTCCGGTTTAGAGCCACAAACAATTTTGCGTCCTTTAATGTTCCAAGGTCACTGCTCATTTTACTTCATCAGATTTTGAGTCTCGGATTATTTTTTTAATGATGAAATTGGGTTTTAAAAAAGTGTTAATTTCAGCCCATACATTTCAAGCCCAAACTTAGAGGACTAAGGTAAGTTGTCCTGCAGTTCTCTAATGTCAGGATCCTAGAAGAACACAAGCTTCCCTACCTGCTGTTCTCTAATGTCAGGATCCTAGAAGAACACAAGCTTCCCTACCTGCAGTTCTCTAATGTCAGGATCCTAGAAGAACACAAGCTTCCCTACCTGCTACCTGCAGTTCTCTAATGTCAGGATCCTAGAAGAACACAAGCTTCCCTACCTGCAGTTCTCTAATGTCAGGATCCTAGAAGAACACAAGCTTCCCTACCTGCTGTTCTCTAATGTCAGGATCCTAGAAGAACACAAGCTTCCCTACCTGCTGTTCTCTAATGTCAGGATCCTAGAAGAACACAAGCTTCCCTACCTGCTGTTCTCTAATGTCTAGAAGAACACAAGCTTCCCTACCTGCTGTTCTAATGTCAGGATCCTATCCTCAGGATCCTAGAAGAACACAAGCTTCCCTACCTGCAGTTCTCTAATGTCAGGATCCTAGAAGAACACAAGCTTCCCTACCTGCTGTTCTCTAATGTCAGGATCCTAGGATCCTAGAAGTTCTCTAATGTCAGGATCCTAGAAGAACACAAGCTTCCCTACCTGCTGTTCTCTAATGTCAGGATCCTAGAAGAACACAAGCTTCCCTACCTGCCTAGCTTCCCTACCTGCTGTTCTCTAAGTCAATCCACAAGCTTCCCTACCTGCTGTTCTCTAATGTCTGCTAGAAGAACACAAGTTCTCTGCTGTTCTCTAATGTCAGGATCCTAGAAGAACACAAGCTTCCCTACCTGCTGTTCTCTAATGTCAGGATCCTAGAAGAACACAAGCTTCCCTACCTGCTGTTCTCTAATGTCAGGATCCTAGAAGAACACAAGCTTCCCTACCTGCTGTTCTCTAATGTCAGGATCCTAGAAGAACACAAGGATCCTAGAAGAACACAAGCTTCCCTACCTGCTGTTCTCTAATGTCAGGATCCTAGAAGAACACAAGCTTCCCTACCTGCAGTTCTCTAATGTCAGGATCCTAGAAGAACACAAGCTTCCCTACCTGCAGTTCTGTTCTCCTAGAAGAACACAAGCTTCAGGATCTCTAGGATCCTAGAAGAACACAAGCTTCCCTACCTGCTGTTCTCTAATGTCAGGATCCTAGAAGAACACAAGCTTCCCTACCTGCTGTTCTCTAATGTCAGGATCCTAGAAGAACACAAGCTTCCCTACCTGCAGTTCTCTAATGTCAGGATCCTAGAAGAACACAAGCTTCCCTACCTGCTGTTCTCTAATGTCAGGATCCTAGAAGAACACAAGCTTCCCTACCTGCTGTTCTCTAATGTCAGGATCCTAGAAGAACACAAGCTTCCCTATCTAGAAGAACACAAGCTTCCCTACCTGCTGTTCTCTAATGTCAGGATCCTAGAAGAACACAAGCTTCCCTACCTGCTGTTTCTAATGTCAGGATCCTAGAAGAACACAAGCTTCCCTATGTTCTCTAATGTCAGGATCCTAGAAGAACACAAGCTTCCCTACCTGCTGTTCTCTAATGTCAGGATCCTAGAAGAACACAGCTTCCCTAAGTTCTCTAATGTCAGGATCCTAGAAGAACACAAGCTTCCCTACCTGCTGTTCTCTAATGTCAGGATCCTAGAAGAACACAAGCTTCCCTACCTCAGTTCCTATGTCAGGATCCTAGAAGAACACAAGCTTCCCTACCTGCAGTTCTCTAATGTCAGGATCCTAGAAGAACACAAGACCTGCAGTTCTCTAATGTCAGGATCCTAGAAGAACACAAGCTTCCCTACCTGCTGTTCTCTAATGTCAGGATCCTAGAAGAACACAAGCTTGCTGTTCCTATCCTGCTGCAGTTCTCTAATGTCAGGATCCTAGAAGAACACAAGCTTCCCTACCTGCTGTTCTCTAATGTCAGGATCCTAGAAGAACACAAGCTTCCCCTACCTCAGGCTAGAAGAACACAAGTTGCAGTTCTCTAATGTCAGGATCCTAACACAAGCTTCCCTACCTGCAGTTCTCTAATGTCAGGATCCTAGAAGAAACAAGCTTCCCTACCTGCTGTTCTCTAATGTCAGGATCCTAGAAGAACACAAGCTTCCCTACCTGCTGTTCTCTAATGTCAGGATCCTAGAACACAAGCTTCCCTACCTGCACAAGCTTCCCTACCTGCTGTTCTCTAATGTCAGGATCCTAGAAGAACACAAGCTTCCCTACCTGCTGTTCTCTAATGTCAGGATCCTAGAAGAACACAAGCTTCCCTACCTGCTGTTCTCTAATGTCAGGATCCTAGAAGAACACAAGCTTCCCTACCTGCTGTTCTCTAATGTCAGGATCCTAGAAGAACACAAGCTTCCCTACCTGCTGTTCTCTAATGTCAGGATCCTAGAAGAACACAAGCTTCCCTACCTGCTGTTCTCTAATGTCAGGATCCTAGAAGAACACAAGCTTCCCTACCTGCTGTTCTCTAATGTCAGGATCCTAGAAGAACACAAGCTTCCTGCGTTCTCTAATGTCTACCTGAACACAAGCTTCCCTACCTGTTCTCTAATGTCAGGATCCTAGAAGAACACAAGCTTCCCTACCTGCAGTTCTCTAATGTCAGGATCCTAGAAGAACACAAGCTTCCCTACCTGATCCTAGGAAGAACACAAGCTTCCCTATAATGTCTAATGCAGATCCTAGAAGAACACAAGCTTCCCTACCTGCAGTTCTCTAATGTCAGGATCCTAGAAGAACACAAGCTTCCCTACCTGCTGTTCTCTAATGTCAGGATCCTAGAAGAACACAAGCTTCCCTACCTGCTGTTCTCTAATGTCAGGATCCTAGAAGAAACACAAGCTTCCCTACCTGCTAATGTTCTCTAATGTCAGGATCCTAGAAGAACACAAGCTTCCCTACCTGCTGTTCTCTAATGTCAGGATCCTAGAAGAACACAAGCTTCCCTACCTGCTGTTCTCTAATGTCAGGATCCTAGAAGAACACAAGCTTCCCTACCTGCAGTTCTCTAATGTCAGGATCCTAGAAGAACACAAGCTTCCCTACCTGCTGTTACACTCCACAAAATTTGACTGAACTACCTATAAACTGTATAATAATCTAGCGAATCATATAAGATTACAACAATATGAGATCACAGATGTTATAAAATTCAGTTTACAAATTCACTGTTCTCTGTAAAACAGGAAATTATGTTTTCAATTTAAATGCTGACATAAACATTAGCACCAGGCCTTAAACTTTAGGTGAAGAAAAATAAAATAAACTAAGAAGTATAAAGACAACATCAAAAAATGACTACAAAGTTCAGCATATAGACCAAGGGGAATTACTAGAAGTCCAAGGCAATGTGAAAAAATCCCAACCCTTACTGAGGATTGAACCCAGAACCTCTAGCACTCACGGCAGACACCATAAATCTAGACCATGCAGCCCCCGCCACAAGTGAAGTTTACAGCCCGATTGCACCAGCTGCTGGCTGGCGCCATCAAACACCACACATGGTAGTGGGTCATACACAATTAATGCTACAATAGCTTGTTGGTGAACCTCGTCATCACCCTCCACATGGTAGTGGGTCACACACAATCAATGCTACAATAGCTTGTTGGTGAACCTCGTCATCACCCTCCACATGGTAGTGGGTCACACACAATCAATGCTACAATAGCTTGTTGGTGAACCTCGTCATCACCCTCCACATGGTAGTGGGTCACACACAATCAATGCTACAATAGCTTGTTGGTGAACCTCGTCATCACCCTCCACATGGTAGTGGGTCACACACAATCAATGCTACAATAGCTTGTTGGTGAACCTCGTCATCACCCTCCACATGGTAGTGGGTCACACACAATCAATGCTACAATAGCTTGTTGGTGAACCTCGTCATCATCCTCCACATGGTAGTGGGTCACACACAATCAATGCTACAATAGCTTGTTGGTGAACCTCGTCATCACCCTCCACATGGTAGTGGGTCACACACAATCAATGCTACAATAGCTTGTTGGTGAACCTAAAGGCATATATGGAAACAGTTTCTCCATCTGAGTGTATTGCAAAATCGCTATCATTTTTGCCCAGGTTCTGCTGGTGCGAAAGGCAATGAGAGAGCAGACACCTTGGCTGGCAGTGCGACCATCAGGAATAGGTCATCTATGGACAGGAGAGACATCATCAAAGCCAAACAAGAGACTAAAGGCCGTTAGGCTTTCAGTTTGGTGGAATATGATGTCTCACTGAAAAGACTGCATTTCCTGGGTGTACCAGTTGGAGCTGCGAGACAGTTGCCTTTCCTTTGAGCACAAAATGTTGATCAATCACTCCCAGTTGCATCTTTCTCTCTAGACTGTCATCTTTTCACTCTTCCACATCAACTCACTTTAAAATATGATGCTTAAAAAGGTGCTGGTACTGAACCGTACTGCGTACCGTTGAGTATCACACAAATAAACCGTAACTGTTTACATTTTTATAAATACTATTGTTATTTCGCAAACATTTATAACATAAACAATATTTATAGTAATTATTTTGTAAGCTAGGTCACTCACATTTTGACAGAACATTTTTTGAAAACCTACACATGAAATGCTGATAAATTAAAATTCAAGACTTACAAAAAATTAATAACAAACTGTTATAGAAATGTACACAGTAC